AGTAATATTGACCTTTGTGAAGTTCTAGAAAATTCAATAAATACTAATAGCTCAAACTGGAATTCTTTTTAAGGAAGATAATCTGGGGGAAAAAAAGAGAAAGTTTTGTGTCAGAGAAACAAGAATGAGCTGTTTAAAAATATCTGTGTAAATACTGAGAACAGGATTAAGTCTTCCTGTAGTCTGAGTCAAATCTGTGGTTAGGACTGAATGTTTATGATGATCGAGTGATCTGATGAATTACAGGTTTATAGCTTTCTTTTCCAGGTACTTAATTGTCTGCAGGAAGTTGGCTTTTTTGAAGTGAATTTTGTGTTCACTGTTCATATGATTGAAGTTATTAATGCCGAAGATTATTTAGTCACCCCTCCCTCAGTGTTACCAACCATAAAACTGAGGCCCAGGACGGCTGGGAGACTTGCCTAGAGTTACACGTGAGGGAGGAGCAGGGCTAGCCGCTCACATTTCCCTGGAGGGGCTTTGTTTATTCAAAGGCTACAGCTTATGTTAAGGTCAGAGAGACAGAGGGAGCGTGCATGCTCCCAAGACTGATTGATCTCAGCAGGAATTGTAATTCCTCTATGTATAGAAAACTCCACTCTTGACTGTAAATACCTACCCCTAGTAGTATTGTATTTGGTAACTGGCCATAATGTATGAAGGCGTATTCCAGTTTGTGACTACAGCTTGGCCCTAGTATAGAAAAATATTAATTACTATTCAAAATCACTTAAAAAAAGATGACTATCCAAGACACAAACCTGGGATTGCCTTAAGCATAATAAACAAATAATTAAACCAATTATAACTTACCAGTGAAACTTGCAAGCTTTGAGAAGTTGGCCTTGTTTCATGTTTGGTGAAAGGCAGAGTAGTTTAATTACTTTCGTCTGTGGTCAGAGGCATTTCCATAGAGAGCTGGAAGGGATCTTTGAGAGCATCTGATCAGATGATTTTCCCCATTTTGAAGAACTGGAGCTCTTGGAATCCCTGAGTCAGGGTAGAAGGACCCCCTGAGGGTGAAGATCTTCACTTTTACTTACTTCTCATAAAGCCATTTTGCTTATACCTGTTTTATATCTTGGTCTCTGTTACTTAGAAAACAAATTTTAAAACACACTAATACAATATTTCATATTTTGATAGGCGTTGGGTGCATGCATTTATTAAAATGAATTGAGTGCACACTTAAGATTTATAAATTTTATATAAAAAGATGAAAAAATTACTGAACTCAATTATGGCACACTGAACTATTTAGGGGAAGGTGTACATCAGTGACTGAATTATTTTGAAGTGAACCAGAAATAATGTGCAGTGATGGATAGATATAGGGTGGGTACACAATGAAGCAAGTATAGTAACATAGTAATGGTAGAAGGTAGGTGAAAGATATATGTCGGGGTGCTTATTGTATGATTCTTTCAACTTTGCTTCATGATTGAAAACTTTCTTAAAATATTATATGGGAAAAAAACTCACCAATATTGTTTAACCCTCTCATTTTTATAAATAAGGAACGTGATGCTCAAGGAGAATTTGATTAAATCATTGGCAGAGTAAGACCTAGTACCAAAAAATCCTCAGAGAACTGATTCTGCTGCCTTTCTGTACATTCAAATTTGAGCATTTGCCCAAGAATTTTTGCATGAATGCCAGAAAAATCATGTATTTTTGATGAAATAATAGTATTATTAATGATGAAAAAAGGCATTTTGCAGGATTATTGGAACTCTTACTTTCATGATGCTATCTTCTCATGCCCACCCCCCACCTTTTTTTGTTAATTTTTATTCTGGTAACATTGAGGTAATTTTTGTGCTTCTTGTAGTTTAATACATTAGAGTTTATTGTGAATTTATATATTATATAGCATTTATGGCTTAAATTTCATTTTCAATTCGCAAGCACATAAATGCATGATATTTTATGATGAATATCTTCCTTTGAAAGTACAGAAATGAAGGTAACATCTTCGAAAAGGTCCATGAACGTTCTGTAGATTCTTTTGATGTCTTTCTGAAATTAAAAAACAAAAAATGGTCTTGCTTCTAGTGTTTGACTAGCATGTTATGATAAAGGACAACCTAAAAGTGATTTCTCCGTTACTCTTGTACTGTTCTAGAACATTTACAGGGTAAGAATCTCTGGAGTCAAGCCTGCCTTAGGTTTGAATTCTGATTATGATATTTCCAGATGTGAGAACATGGGGAAGTTACTAAACTTCTTTGAGCCTTTTTTCCTTGGGTACAAAATGGGAATAATGCTAGTATCCTATGGCTCTTAGTATTTAATAGGTATTAGGTGTAACTTTTATTAGAAGTAAACTTAGACTTTGCTAGTGAATGACATATCTTTGTCATATTATATTTGTACTTATAACATCTATTTATATTTTTATATTTTATTATCTTATTTTTATTGTTGATATTCACCTCTACATGGGATTGTGCTTCTGTATATTTACAGGATTTACATCTTGCCTGTGCAGTGTTCACTCTTACAGTTGTTTACCCCAAAGCATGAGTCATCTACGAAGCACACTTTAGTTAAGATTGGGCGTATTTATTTCCTAATTCTGTTGTCCTTTAAATGACTCTTTTGGCCTTCTTAGATTTTGGCATTGATGACTGCTTTTTCAACTTCCTCTCTAGAATCCAAAATGTAAGAATTATATAATTGAAGCCTTGCATAACTCAAAATGTGAGAAATGTATAAGGCCAAATTAGTGAGTAATTACATTTTTTATCATTACTGTAACTTTAAAATTTTGCAGTGCAAAGATCCTACTTTTTCTTATTAAGTTGATAAAAAAATATTGGTGTTATTTGAAGATGTAATTTTAGACAAATGGAAATTTTAGTTGGAAGATTATTGGATACATATCTTACCCACCACAGCATACATATACACATGCATAAGATGATAGTATAATAAGTAATATACATATAAGATAATAGTATACCATTTGAAGGAAAAAACGTCAAGGCTATGTTTATTATAGTTCAGTAGTTGTGTAATGCCTTTTTTGGTCCATCATTTTAAATCCTTTTTTAAAAATAATGTGGTACTTCTCAGATTTAAGTGTGACAGAATGAGCTTAAGGTACAGCATCATAGAATTTGGAGGCACACAGTCATAGAACACTTATAGGCTAAGAATCTCTGGAATCAAGGAAGATGCTTTGAGATCATTTGGAATTTCAGATTTGTGGCTTTTAACACTTGCTGCGCATTGAAATTATTTGGGGAAGTCTTAAAAATACTAATATTTGCCAGGCGCGGTGGCTCACGCCTGTAATCCCAGCACTTTGGGAGGCCGAGGCGGGCGGATCACGAGGTGAGGAGATGGAGACCATCTTGGTTAACACAGTTGAACCTTGTCTCTACTAAAAATACAAAAAATTAGCTGGGCGTGGTGGCGGGCGCCTATAGTCCCAGCTACTTGGGAGGCTGAGGCAGGAGAATGGTGTGAACCCGGGAGGCGGAGCTTGCAGTGAGCTGAGATTTCGCCACAGCACTCCAGCCTGGGCAACAGAGCGAGACTCCGTTTCAAAAATAAATAAATAAATAAATAAATAAATAAATAAATAAATAAACAAACTAATATTTAGATTGTATCCCAGATGCATGAAATAAGAATCTCTGTGAGGGGTCCTGAATATTCCTAGTTTTTGAAAGGCTCATCTGGTGATCCTACCATCATATCAATTATAAAAACCGTTTTCTGGGTTTTTTTTTCTTTGCCACTGTTTCAAGAGGAAACAGATCCCTGCTCTAAATCTTGGTAAAGTCATAGAGCTATTTATCTTTAGAATTGAAATAGTATCTTGGTCTCTTCTTAAACAGTGGTTTCTCCTCTCTCCCACAATGCTTTCATTTTCATTTCTTCCAGTTTGTGTTTTTTATTTTGAGTTTGTGAGGGTCCCCAAAACCATTGGGGTGTAGCTAAGCCTGATTTTGGTGGATGCCCCCAGAGGAATCACCCATTTGCATTTCCTGAAACACTGGAGAGTAAATGAAGATCCTGGTGTAGCTCCAGTGTACCTCAACTGGACTAGTCAAACTGCTGTGTAAATGGAGTTCTTTTGTGGTCGGGAGAAAACCCTGTGGTATTTCTAGTTGGTTACTCTAAATCTTATGCACTATGTATTAATTAAATTATATTGTACTTTGTTCAGTAATAATGGAATATATGTGTATTAGACTAGTTTTAGCTTCAGGCGTATATTAGGTTTTTTTGAAAAGATGGAAGAATAGACCAGGCACAGTGACTCACACCTGTAATCCCAGCAGTTTGAAAGACCAAAGCAGGAGGATCACTGGAGCCCAGGAGTTTGAAACTAGACTGGGCAACATAGGGAGACCCCACCTCTACAAAAATAATAAAAATTAGCCAAGTATGTTGGTATGCACCTGTAGTCCCAACTACTTGGGAGGCTGAAGCAGGAGGATCACTTCAGCCTGGGAGGTCAAAGCTGCAGTGAGTGGTGATCACACCGCTGCATTCCCGCCTGGGTGACAGAATGAAACCTTGCCTCAAAAAGAAAAAAAAAAAAAAGGAAGAATAAACAAAAATCAATATATTTTGTAATTGCAACTTAATTACTTAATTAAAATAATTTTATCTATTTTATGATATTATTACAATTTTGTTCTTATTTACAGATAATATAATTCAAATAGTATATATATATATAATTAACTGACTTTCTGTGTATTCCATAATTATTTTGAATATGGAGTTGTAATATTATCACGCCATCAAGGCTAACCTCCAAATGAATGGCAATATGGAGAAATGTGTTTGTAACTCACTTATGATAGATTCTTTGGATAAATACAGCTTATTCTAGGCTTTCATCACCATTTCTTGCTGTGGCGGGATAATGTTGTAGTCTGAAATGGCGTGTGGCCAGACGTGGATGCAGTATTAGTGCCTCTTGCAGGCCTTGTTTAAAACACTCACTCTGGGATACTACTGTGCTTCTTTACTTCCAGACTGACCACTGCTCTAAGCAGTGTTGGGGCAATGCCTGGGCTGCCCGAGCCCTTGAAGTTCAAGAAGAAGCACCTGGACTTCTCATGAGGGCAGGTCAGAGTCAATGTAAGTGACTTCCTAATTTGGGGGGCTAAATCCCTTCAGTGATTGAGGTCTGTATCAAGTCAGCCATATAAATAGCTATTTCCAATGTGTTTTATGTCAGCATCATACCCCAAAATGCTGCCATTGACCTAAAATAAAATTTTAGAAGTGTTTCTCAAATAATAAATGCCATGTGTCTCCTGTGAAAAGCATCATTTCCCTAGAGTTATCCATTGATATTTTTAATTCCATGAAAATACTACTTTGAGGACATTGGAGTTGCTTTGAACGTTGGCATCAATTAAGAGAAAACTTAGAAAGTCTAATTTAAAAATATCTTGGACTTTATAACTAAGTAGAGAGCTGTAGTTGTCAGGCAGAAATGCATATGTGGGCAAAGTGAAACATTTATAACTTTGAAAATAGTTTTAATTTTGCTAGAGTTAGAGAATTGTTGTTGAGCATTGTTGCTTAATACAGCTTAGTATCATTTCAATGATGTTCCTTCAGGAACTCCCAATCATGTAATGATTCTCAAAAGTAACACTTCAGTAAATTGTATCAGAAAATACTTACCATGTTCATAAATGGACAATAGAAATGGTAGAAATAATGTTTATTTGGGAGAAATTATAGGGGAATAGAATTAGGTTTCTCCTATAAGGCAACATAATGAAGTAATAATTTGATGCTTGTATTAAGATGGAATTTTCATTAAAAACAGAGATAGATGAGAAAGTGATGAAAGAATAGAAAATATTACAATCCCATCAAGTTTCATTCTCATCAATTCCTGAGGATCTCAACCTCTTTTCAAATATTCTTTTTGTTTATAAGTTATATGGTAACCGTGTTTGGAGATCATGTGAAGATCATTTATCTAGTACAGTTCAGCTTTAGAACATTTTGCATAAAATTATGATAATTTGAACAGGAGGGAAAACAAAGGTCTACAATAAGTAAAAGTACAAATTAGCTTATTTTTTTTTTCCTTTTTCATGGCTTAGATCTAACTTAGATAAATTTGAGCAATGAATATTATACAAACAAATGTTTTACAAACAGTACTTTCCTTAATTGAATCTATCTTGTAAACACATTAAAATCATGTGTATTGGGAAGAGCATGGAACATACAGTTCTAAAAGTTAAGACTCCCCTGTTTACCACAGTGTTATTTAAGTTCTCTCAGCATCAGACCTGATAACCTGTCCTGCCTACCCTCCTGGGTTCTTATGGGGCCCAAAGGAGATGACATATGGCATATGCGAAAGTGCCTTGCTAAGTATAACAAGCTATATAAAATTCGTCATTCTTTTGGATGCAACATTTAGAACAAAACTTTTACAAAAATCAGGATATTTTATCCAACAGCCTTAGAGATAGTTGTCTTTTTTATATGTGCATTTTGGTTAAAGCAGAAACAAAGTAGTTCATATAGAATGAGCTAAAATGCATGACACAGCAACATCCAAATGCAAAGTAGCTTCAGTTACCATGGCATAGCCTGGATTCAAACTGTTTTTATTAGTCACACGTCCCACTTTCTTTAACTTCTCCTCCTTTCTTCTCTTTCTTTCTCAACATTGTTTCTTCCACCTTTTCCTGCTTTCCAAAGTTGGAAAGATTTTTCTATTTGTCTCCTGACCTTAAGCTTTATACCCTGGGGACCCTTCTTTCAAAGTGTTATACCACTTAGTTATTCTGGCAGGTTTTGTATAAGGTATTTTTGACACCTTTCCCTTGATGTCTTATAGTTAGACAAGGTGACGTTCTAAGCTGCTGGACCGGAAACAGGAAAAGCAGTGTTTGGTCCCCAAGGAGTGATGAAACTACAGGTAGTGCTGACAGGTGTGTATAGTCACACTTCAGCTGAGACTGTTCTGTGGTTTGAAACTCTTTAGCTGTATCTGCCATACCATTTACAGTTTTTTTTCTTAAAGTTTAAAAATTGCGTCACTGCATGTTTAGAATAAAGTAACTCAGAGCAGCAACATAGAAAAGTAATGCATCCAAAGAAAGGTAAACAGAGCATGAGAAGAAATACAGAGAAAGCTGAATTATAGAATGAAAATAGCAAAGGTGAATTTTTAGCTTGGGAGATGAGGGGAAGACTTGGATGAGAGGGAAAGAAAAGAAAATTGATTTTACCAGGATTGCTCTAGCTCTTCAGGGCTTATTTCAGAAAAGCTGACTAGGGCTCTGGAACCCAGGGAATCAGGGCTCCCCAGGTGACCTCTGCCAAGAACACTGGGAAGGGAGAAAAAGCCAGAGTGAATGGGTAACAGAAGGTAAGAACTCATTTATTCTGGCATTTGTAGTTTAAACAGCATAAACTTAGGAGGAGTATCTGTTTTGAAACTGGTGAAACTTATTAGTATCAAATACTTGCTATGATTCTTTGTTATTGGTTGTTTGTTTTTGAAACCTCTAGTTGAAAGAATGGTTTAGAAAGCTCAATATTTCCATAGCCATGGTTTGCAATCCTGTTATTACCCTAAGGCAGGAAATTGGGGTTGCTTCTTCTCTATTCTTCTTCCTTCATTTCTTTAATGTAATCATCCCTTTTCTTCCCTGCCTTTCTTCCCATGTCTCTTTGTTCTTCCTTTGCTTACTTGTTTTCTGTTCCCCTACTCCAGAATTTTAGAATGATTTATTGAGACTTACAAGTCTTTACATGACACTGTAAAATCTCAGAAATATTTTTCTTCAGGCATATGAATCGTAAGTAATATCAACTCAAAGAAGGAAGATTAATGTGTCACTTTGAATTCTCAGATTTTTCCTACTGTGAAAAGAGACTAGTATTTGAGAAAAACATAAAAGTTAAAAACAGAATATTCAGAAATTTGGGCTATTTGTGAGCATTAGCTTATGATTCTCAGAATTTATACGTATGTAAACACTGGAAATTTTGGACTATGATATTTAGATAGAGCCTAATCTTACGGAAGGTTAGTATCTGGTAAGCACAGGATTTGGGAAGATCAGTCTGTGATTCCTTGAGATTTCTTCGTTTACCTGGTTGCTGCATTTGAGTGGTTATCGAGCTCCTGTAGTGTACTTCTTTTTCTCAAGTAGGGATATCATTAGCTGGCTTGTACTTGTCTTGGAAACATTACAAAAAAAGTACCTCTTCTGAGCCAAAGAATTATAAACCACTTTTCAGTTTGGCTTGGCATTGAGCTGAGTTTAGACCCCCACATGCCACCCAGGAACTTCTGCACATAAATAAACAATATAATCATATGAAGTAATCTCTAGGGAAAAATGTGATTTTTTTTTTCCTCTCAAAATGATGGTGCTTTATAAATTATCAAGTCTTCAAACCACAGCAAAATTTTTTCAGTCTTAGTTAATAATCAGACACTGCTGACTTTTGTAAGAGATTATCAATATTTTATCTGTCAGATATTCAAAGTTTTAAATAAAGTAATATTGTAGTAATATGATATTAGTAGAAAAGTACATTGGAAATATAGGTATACCTGTTTTGTTGTTGTTGTTTTGTTGTTTTGTTGTTGTTGTTGTTGTTTGAGATGGAGTCTCACTCTGTCGTCCAGGCTGGAGTGCAGCGGTGCGATCTTGGCTCACTGCAAGCTCCGCCTCCTGGATTCACGCCATTCTCCTGCCTCAGCCTCCCCAGTAGCTGGGACTACAGGTGCCCGCCACCACGCCTGGCTAATTTTTGTATTTTTAGTAGAGACGGGGTTTCACCGTGTTAGCCAGGATGGTCTCGATCTCCTGACCTCATGATCTGCCTGCCTCGGCCTCCCAAAGTGCTGAGATTACAGGCGTAAGCCACTGCACCCAACCTGTATACCTGGTTTATTGCACTTTGCTTTATGATGCTTCACAGATACTACATTTTTTTTTTTAACAAAATTTAATGTTTGTAGCAACCCTGTACCAATGCCATTTTTCTAACAGTATGAGCTCATTTCATGTCTCTGTGTCACATTTTGGTAATTGTCACAATATTTCAAACTTTGTCATCATTATTATATCTGTTATGGTGATCTGGGATCGATGATCTTTGATGCTACTCTTGGAATTTTTTGGGCACCATGAACCATGCCCATATAAGGCAGATAACTTTATCATTGTTGTGTGTGTCTTCTGACTGTTCCACTTACCAACCATTTTTCAGTCTCTCTCCATTTCCTTGGTTCTATTTCATGAGACACAACAGTATTGAAATTAGGCCAGTTAATAACCCTATGGTGGCCTCTATACGTTTAAGTGAAAATGAGAGTCTCACATCTCTCACTTTAAATCAAAAGCTAGAAATGATAAAGCTTACTGAGGATAGTGTGTCCAAAGCTGAGACAGGCCAAGAGCAAGGCTTCTTGGACCACAGAGTTAGCCAAGTTTTGCATGCAAAGGAAAAGTGCTTGAAGGACATTAAAAGTGCTCCTTCTGGTGAACACATGAATGATAAGAAAGCAAAACAGCTTTATTTCTGATATGGTGAAAATTTAAGTGGTCTGGATAGAAGATCAGTCAACCACAACATTCCCTTAAGCCAAAGCCTAATCCAGAACAAGTACCTAACTCTGATTCAAGGCTACAAAGGCTGAGTGAGGTGAGGAAGCTGCAGAGGAAATGTTGGAGGCTAGCAGAGGTTAGCTCAGAAAGATTAAGGAAAGAAGCCTCCATAACCTAAAAGTGCAAAGTGAAGCAGAAAGCGCTTCTGTAGACGCTGCAGCAAGTTATTCAGAAAATCTAGCTAAGATCATTGATGAAGGTGGCTACACTAAGCAACGGGTTTTCAGTGTAGATGGAGCATCCTTCTATTGGAAGAAGATGCCATCTAGGACTTTCATAGTTAGAGAGGAGAAGTCAATGCATGACTTCAAAGCTTCAAAGGACAGGCTGACTCTTGTTAGGAACTAATGCAGCTGATGACTTTAAATTAAAGCCAATGCTTATTTACCATTTTGAAAATTCGAAGGCCCTTAGGAATGATACTAAATCTACTCTGCCTGTGTTCTGTATATGGAATAACAAACCTTGTATTAC